CCCGCCCCGCCGCCGCGGCCCTTTCGACGTCTTTCCTGCGTGCGTTCGAAGTAGTGCGGTGGCGTCGTGCTCCCATCCTTGTCTTAGGCGCGCCATCAGCCTGTGGAGAGAGAGAGAGAGAGAGAGAGAGAGAGAGAGAGAGAGAATGAACGATGGCGGCGTCGTGTCGAGAGGAAGTCGGCGTTTTCACGACCTCACAGCAGCGCCATTCCTACAAAGTGATTCATTATCCGAGTCAATGATGCGGCGAGAGCCAAATCGTCACTACGACTTCTGCAGCCGCCGCCACTGCTGCCGGGAAGGAGGTCTTAATTCTCGCACAGAGAAGCTGGCCAGCAGTCGTGGAGGGAAAAAAGGGGGATTGAAAGTGACTGGAGGCGGATTGTACATCTGAGAAACGAAACTATGTAACATCTTTCGTTTATTTAGCCGTTTGAAGTACGGTGTTTCATTAGTCATTGGCCATAATTAGAAACTTTAAATGACGAACCTCGGAAATTTGTTCGATGTTAAGAAAACATAAGGTAAATGAAAATACATAACTTGCATAGGAACTTAATTATGGAGTAATGCTGCGAATTTTATTTAGTGTGTGTTTTTGTTGACTTAACTGAACCTCCTTATAAGTTTTTTTTTACGATCGTGCTGGTGCGACAGGAATGTAAGAGTCGCCAACACGGAGGTGCGGACGAAAAAGTGACTGGCCCCGGGACAATGAAAAGCTACTAGAAAAGGATGATATGAAGTGGGGAGAGGAGGAGTGGGGCGTCGTGCCATCGCCACGCTTCAACGGCTCGGAGCGAATGACCATTGACCATTACGACCCCAGACGGAAGCTCAGTCCAGGAGGGCGTTCGCCTCCTTGCAGCGGGCGCGCCGAGCAGCACGGCGACGACGAGTGGACGGAGGGGGTACTACTACCGTCTCATTAAAAGTCAATGCGAGGGACGGATGGCGCGACCGGCAAGCGCCCCGCGAGGAGGACGACAACGACGACGCCGGGGCGCAACGCATTCCTATGGCTGGTGCCCGGCTGGTGCCTACCTGCTAAGTCTATTATTTTGGAGGAAAGAAGACCGGGCGTCGTCGTCGAGACCCCCCTCTCTCTCTCTCTCTGCTCAGGCCGTTCCGCTACAGGGCTAATTTCACTAGGTTAGGTTTGCCCCGCTTTGCCCCGCTTTGCTCAACTTACCTTGGGCCGCGCGCCGCTGCAGCGACACGCCCCGCCCGCTTTAGGGTCCCTCTGAAGGGCCCTCCTGCAGCGCACACGCATGAAGACGGCCCCTAATTGAAACAAGTTCTGCCCCCTTCCCTCTCTCTCCTTTTCCCCTTTGCGAGGTGTGCCTCTGGGTCCCGCGGGCGGCGGCGCGGCTCGTCTCGTGCGACCGGAATGGTAACGAGTCGCGACAGATTATTGCGTTATTTCTTATCTGGGGGAGGGAGTGACGCGGAGTTGAGCAGGGAAGCAGAACTGTGCGACTCTCTGCAGCTGCTGAAAGTGTGTGTGTGTGTGTGTGACGGTACTCAATCAATTAGGAGCAAACGAGCCCCACAGCCCCAAACCCCCTCACTCGAAATGACAGTACAATTAATATGTTGTCTGTAGCAAATTTCGTAGTCTCTGAACTGATTTAATTTTTAATTAAGCTGGAATGTGCAAATACGCTTGCCCAAAATGATATCAGTGCACTTAAAGGTATGTCAGCTTACACAAATTTTCTTGAGACCGCTGTCACTCATATATCATACAGAAATAGCTATGCGATGCTATGAGTCCACTGAGCATTTTCTACCTCTGTACTTTCAGTTGCCCGGCTCTTTCTAATTTGTAGCAGCCCTGCAACCGTCCTACACCGCCGCCGGATCGTCAGCGAGCTTTTAGCGAAAACGAACGACGATAGAAGTATACGACATGGGTCCAATAAAGGGGGCAATAACACTAACGGGGAGCGCGGTGGTAAAGGGGGTGGCACGAAATAAGAGAAGAAAAAAAACGTTGATAAAAGTCAACTGCGGAAACCCTATCCAATTTCCGAAAGGTGGAGATGGTTTGAAGGGACGCGGCAGAGAAGGGCGGGGAATGACAGAGAAATAGATGGACGGTCAACGAGAGAGAGAGAGAGAGAGAGGGGGGGGGGGCTGCAAGGGTAGAAGAGAGTTGTCTCGAATGACCAGCAAAGGACCTGTCATCGGACGCCAAAGCTTACCCAGCCCTCCCTCTTCCACGCCCACCACGACTCCAGCCCACGATGATAGCAGAAACTTGCCGTTTGTCACTGCGGCCGCTTGAGCGCCAAAGTTTTGAAGGGCGACCGGTCGGCTATTGCCATTGAATTGTCGTTGCGACGTTCCCTTTACTTTTACCTGAGGCGCTCCCGCCGCCGGGCCGACCTCTTTGGACTTGCTCTTCGTAGACCGTCTTCCACCCTGCTGAAAAACGAAAAGCTATCGTTGAAGAGAAACCAGCAGAGATAACCGAAGGACTCGACCCTTTCAATTTACACTTTGATTTTCGTCAAGATTTTTCGTTGGAAATTTTAACAGTAAGATAACGTTACTGTTGCAAGAAGAAAAAAACTAGCACTGTTTTATATTTTTTTTGTGCGAGACAGTGCCCGTATCATGCGGTATCATGCCCGATGAGGCGCGAATGGGGTACTTTTGTACATAGGGAAGTCGAGTACCATGATCGTGCCTAACAATAAGCATCTGACACGGGGAGAGGCGCGGCTCGGCGGCTCCCCCGCGGCCCAGCCATTACAGCCCTCATTTCCTCGGTGACAATGGCAAGGTGTTCCGAGCAAGACACATCAACGGAAATGACTTTCTTGAGGCCGGGCCGCGCGGCGGGGTTAGGGGAGGGAAAGGCAGCCCACAGTCCCGCGCGCCTCTGGCAAGGCCGCCGAGGAGGAGCGGCGCGGAGCCGGATCAGGCGACGAGGAAATAATAACTTCCGTTGCCTGGAAAGATGCAAAAGAGAGGGCGAGTAGGTCGCGGCGCAAGGCGGGCCGGGTCTGAGAAGGCTCTGGGGGCGGCGTCTCAGTCCCCCTTCCCTGCTCCTCCGGCAATATGCATTAGGGAGTCGCCTTGCCTCACCTTTTGTTTGCTATTGAGACCTTTCCCTTTATCATTTGTTGGCGTTATGGTAATGCGCCGTGGCGGCCGAGTCTCACCTGCCCCTGACGCCCCCGCCTCTCAATTAGGCACGGTCCTAACGTAGCGCGGAGCGGCCACGCGACAAGCAACACTGTTAATATAACTTTTATGCGTCATTCCTTCGATGCGTGTTCATATGGTTGTGTGATTTTAAATTTACCAACGATGAATGTCACGAAAAGCAACAAACTCTTATCGAAAAATTACAAAATTCAAATCAAAGAAAAGTAACAAAATATCTTAAAATTGTTAATTTTTTTTATCAACTGTGGCGCGTTGTCCAGCATCAACCATACTTCTTTTTGTAAATGAACGACGTCTGTCATATTCGAACTTGTTACAAAAATGATGTGACCTAACGCAAACATTTTTTGTTTTGTTTACAGAAAGTTTACGAGAAGGTAAGACACTGAAGCAGCGCGCGGTAGCAACTACAAACATGTTCACCTTGCTCTACCTCCGCGTTGTTGCTCTTCTCCCCGAGATCGAGAAGTCATGGACAAAATGTTCGCCCGCCGTGTCTCGCCGATAAAACGCGCCGAGTCCCGCCAGCCAGCCAGCCACCGCCAATGAGTCTTCGTCGCGGACCCTCCGCCGCCGCACCCGCCCCGCCCCGCCCCGCCTCCAAACTTGGAGGCAATTACTCCGGCGATGAGCCCTCCCCGATGATATGCAACGCTGCCGAGGATGTGGACGCAGCTGCCGGTAGCTGTTGTGCCGGCCCCGGGGCGGCCCCGCCGCTACCGACGCGCGCGTGCCCCGACTGCCTAATGGCGGCCACTTTCTGATTTGTTCCGGGAAACTCACCGACCAACCCCTTAATTTGCCCCTTTTCTGCCTCCCCCGCCCCCTCACCCTTCCCGCTTTGCCGCCACCCTCACGCGTAGCAGCAACAGCAGCAGCAGGTACCTTTTGGCAACAGCCTTCCCTTATGTGCTTCCCTTTCTCCCCGTCTCTGCTGCCCTCTCTCTCTCTCTCTCTCTCTCTCGCTCTCCGCTCTCGCGCGCTCTCTCTCTCCCCCGTGCTGAACCTGACAGTCCTCTATCTCTGTCCTCGTAGGCCTGGCCCCGGGCATGTTGGCGCAGATTAGGTCCAGGACGAGAATCATCGCCGGCACTTAGGTAACGCCCCCACTATCTGTTCAGCTGCCAGAGTCTTGCCCGCCCCTGCCCCGGGATTTAGCTCCTTGCTCCTTTTCTCTGGCGGGCTTTTTTTTTCGCCTCCCCGCCCTGCTTCCTCCTGTTCCTGCTCCTTCCTTTTACCCCGACCCCCGCGCGCCGCGCGGATTTTGCCACTTGTTCTGGCGAATTAGGCCGAGCGAAACACGCGGAAACGGATTTGCGTTAAGTACCGCACACATTTCAGTGTGGACGAACCAAAAAAAGAAGAGGAAGACTGCGAGTGAGACGCGGAAAGAGAGAGAAAAAGAAAGAGCGCTGCCACCTGCACTTTCCTTCCCCTCTATTGTTTTGGGCGCGCGCGGCTCGATTAAAGATTTATCGTCCACAGAGGTGTAAAACCAGGTGAACGCATAAACTGCGCCGCTGCCGGTGTCTCGCTTCATGGCGAGCAGGGCGGAGCAGAGCGGAGCAGAGCGCGCACCCTGGCCCGGGCAATATTCCCCATGACTTGCCACAATGAACCTTTTACGCCATCCTCGTCGACGCTTTACCGTCCATCATGCGTGCAGCGAGTCGTTATTGTGTACAAAACCCGCTGCTGCTGCTGCTCGCCCCGCGCTACAAAACAGTGCCTATCCGCGTCTTTCCGGGCGTGGCGAACATTTTTTCGCAAAAGGAAGTTTTGCTGGGACCTTTTTTTTTTTTTGGCGCGGGATGCCGCAGAAGTGTATGCAGCAAAACTCCTCGGGGCTGCTATGCTGCGGCGGCGGCGCTGCGCGGGTGGCGCGGCGAGGCGGACGCGGAAGGCAGATTCGAAGGAAGTGCCGTCGGTGACTCTGCATTTCTGTTTCTCTTGTACTCCCCGCGCAATTGATATGCGCCGGAGGGCGAGGCGGCGGCGTGATCCCCAACAAGTCCGGGCGAATCCGATCAGGCGCCACCGCACTCGCAGTACTCTATGCTGGCGCCGGAGGAAAATATGTGTGCGACCACTTCGTTTTGGTGGAAATTTTTTTATTCCGATAATAGCTGGCTTCAAACCCGCGCTATACATTTTTCTCGAAGCTTTACGTTTATTTGGTGGTGCCACTATCTTGTCCTCTTAGCTCCCAAATCTCTGAAACAAAAGCCTTCTTCTCTTCGCTTAGTGTCGAGATAGTGGTAAAGACTGTCTGCCGCATTGGAACACCATTTGACGACGCCTCTTCTGATTCGGAAAGAATTAAAACGTTTCCTGTTTCTTGTCGCCCCCTATTTTTTTTTCGCCCCTCCCCCCTCCTACTGCTTTTCAGCACCCCCTTGTTCCCGCACCGACCGGTTCACTTGGAAATAGTCCCCGATAGCATGCTAATGGAGTCTGTTGAGCGCCGCTGGGGAAAGAGAGATAAAAGTGGGACATAACTGCACCTCCCATGAATGCAAACACGGGCCGCCCTTATCTAATCGTTATTCTCAATCTGCGAGGAGCTGAAGTGAGATTACCGAGGCCGGCCCTCGTGGATTAGTGCGGCGCTGCTGCTGCTGGCCTCTCGCGGTAATGATCCCGCCTGAAAGAGTGGTGTGCATTCGCAGGGAGGGCTTATCCTCTCTATCTATATAAGGCGACACGACGACCCCTCCACCACCCTCCACGACGTCGACGTGCGTTCGTACGAAATAATAAAAAAATGTTACTGTCCTCCCCGAGGAGAAGCAGCAAAAATGCCTAGTGCCCCTCTCCGGGGCGCCTCCGCCGTTAAATCCGTGCGCAGTCGAACTCCACTTTACCGCGAGTGGATTCGCCCTTCCCGGACGCTGATATGGACCATAGGCCGAATCGATGAGGCAACTATTAAATTCGTTATGTTCGTCTGCAGAGCCGTTCTCCGCGTGCGGCAGGTCTCGCAGTTTAGTACCCAGGATAAAGGGGTTGCGCACATCATAGGGAGGCAGAAATATCATGCAAACCTCAATAGATTAAGTATTGCCTTCGCCACATGAACGTTTTGATGCTTTTTGTATCTGTAATCTATAGACCTATACTAGGTACCTAATGGTATTAATATCCACGGGGTCCAAAAACCACGAGAGCCCTCGGTCCCGAACTCTTTGACGATTGCATGATATTTGCACCCCTTATCTCCCGGCCACGGCCACGACACGTGATGATGAGGCGGGCGAACAACAACGACCCGTCCCGCGCGGGCGCCCCTGTCTGTCCTTCTGGCTGCAGTCGGGAGGGTTTTGACCCTCGGAAACACCCCCCCTGGCTACGCTGTTGTGTCTGAGTGACCCCCGCTCTCGCCCCCGCCGCCCGTCCCCGCCTCGCGCCGCCACGCTGTCACACTGCGTCACTGGCCAGGTCGTACCCCTCGGGAATTTAATACTGCCTAAGAGGGAAAGCTTGTCAAACTGACTGCGAGCACCCAGTGACATTATCCATCGCTCCCTGCTCCTCTCCCCTCCCTCACTCCAGACCCTCCCCTCCCGCCTCTCTCTCGCTCCCCTGCCATTTCCTTTCGCCCTCTCCCTACCCCCGTCTCCTTGTCCACGGCAAACATGACACCCAGCTTCCATCTCCGCTGGGCTGCCCCTGGCCTCTATGTGTGCTCTCATTTCCTCACAATGCCCGGTGACTGCCCTTGCTTGCAGGGGCCCTGGCGCGCGCCCTGCGCTCTGGACCCCAGCATCCCTCCCCGGCGTGTTTGCATGTCGAAGCTCTAACCTTGAGTAACGTGTCGTGTCACTGAGGCTGGCTACCCTGCTGCGTCAGCCTGCGACGGACTAACACTGGGCACCTCGTAAAAAGTTTCAACGGAGCTCAGAGAAGAGACGAGGCTGGGATGTGTGTTTGTGTACCCACCTCCGTAACTGGGGGAATAAGTTTTTGATATTTTTTTTTAAAGGACAATTTTTACCATTGGTATTATTTTAACGACTGGAAAAGGGAAAGGCACGTTTTATTTTTAGTTGAACTCGGTTTGACTCCCGTCTAACTTTGTGGCGCTGCGTAAACCACAACCACCCAGTGAGCAATGTGGTCTGAACACAATATTTTGGGCTACTCATATTTGAGAGTGCATTGTAAACATTTTTACTAACTTAAAAAAAATAGATCACAGGGTTTCAAAATAGCCTCTGAACCACTGAAAAAAAGTAGGTAGGTTTACAGGAAAATTTTCCTTGACGCAAGTTGTAAAATTACAATTTGTAATCGTAAAAATACATGCAGTATTTATCGACTTCAAATCACTTGGCGAGTAAAAAATGTGCTGTCGTAAATTTACAACTTAATAAGAAATAATTCGAGTTTACAAAATTTTTGTAAATTTACGACGATATTTTTCACAGTGACTAGACTACACCCAGAAAAGTGGATTCTTGATTTGAGTTCCGGTGCTTGACAAGTTGAGGACAGGTACTTGTTTTGAGAATATTTTACTAAATTTGATCTAAAGAAATTCTTAAACCAAGTCCTGGGCCACAACTTGTCAAGTACCGTACTCAAATCAAGTATCCACTTTTTTGGGTGTAATGAACCTTCACTCTCAGTTTTTCGTGCAGCCTAGCCCAAGTAACTGCAACAGCCCTCCCAATCTTGAAGACTGTCGCTCTTAGTTCCTTTTCAACAGGAGCGTTTGTATTACGAAGAATTGGGTTTGCAACGTACAGAGGATCCGGAGCAGCCATATTACAAACGATTTTTCTTCATATACGAAGAGCACTGGTTTGTAAAACGTAAAGCTTGGTTCGTAACGCAAATGGATGTCTTCGTAATAAAGGATCTGTTTGTATTACAAATGCTTCGAATCATATGTACGTTACGAAGAGCAGTTGGTCGTGAGAAGTTGCAGTGAAAACTAGAAATGTCTAGTTGCGTGGCAAATGTACCTTTTATTTACGAAAACTTCCTTTATTAATATTCAATGTTCAACTGTTGTTTTTTCAGGTAGCTGTGTGCGCGTGCTCCCCCAGCATGCCCTGCTTTGTGACCATGGAGCAGCTCCCGGATGACGTGATCGTGGCGGTGATGCAGTTCCTGTCGGTGGAGGACCTCTTCGCCTGCCGCCTCGTAAGTCGGCGTCTCTGCGGCCTCGTCTCCCACTGGGACGTTTGGCGCGACCGGTCGCTCTCCGACGACCTTCCCTGTGCGAACGCGGTGCTGCGCCTGGCGCCCTGCCTCGACGCCCTGGTCGTCACGGGGCGATATCCGACTTTGGCGGTGACGACGACCCAGTGCGCCGTGGCCATTCTGGAACTGCACATATTTGACCGGGAGTCCTTCAACGATGCGGAGTACGCCCTGACAGTGCACAGGCAGGAGTCCCTCGGGCGCCTGAGGAGACTGGAGCTCACTAGCAACGAGCACTACTTTAGGTCACCTCCTGTTGCCGACGTTCTGGTGAGGACAATGGCGTCGTGCTCCGGTCTGCAGTCGCTCGAAGTCTGCGACAGCCTACCCAACACCAACCACCCCATTGAACACGGGCCCTCCAAACCGTCCCTCACGCAATTCGGTTGCCCAATTGATGAACAGTCGAAGTCCTTCGTGCACACAATGCTGGCCGGACACGCGGCCACCCTAGAGGACGTGGACATCAGCGATAGTCATTACGGCATAGGCGACTCGGAGACGGCCGGCCTGTTGGCCAGCATGCCGAGATTGCGGAGGCTGCGCTGCAACGACTCTGTTGAAGGGTTTGGGGCCGTGGCGGCGAGCAAGAGTCTCAGGGACGTGAGCATTACTCTGTTCGGGGAGCCAGATGAAGAGAACGAAGCTGTAGAGTTCCTCCGCAGAGCCAAACAACTGCGCCGGATCCGGTTGAGCTACTGCACCGACTTCAGCGCCGAGTTCTGCGGCCGGGTGTCCGAGGCTCTGACCTCGTCCATGGTGTCCAAAGTGGAGCGGCTGGCGTTGGACGGGTTCACTGAGGTGCGCCTGCTGTTTCGCGAGCTCCCGTCGCTGCCCTACCTCCACCACCTGGAGTTGACGGAGGCCCCGCCCGACGACGAGCTGCTTTTGAGCATCTCCCCCGAGACGGCCCCGGCCCTGAGGAGGCTGGAGCTGGGAACCTGCGGGCAGGTTTGTCCTCACTCCTGGGTACACAGGGATGCAGTCAGGGTGACGCTCGCGGCCAACCCCAAGCTGCATATTCTGCTGTGGCACAATAAAAAAGATTGTGGTCAAGCGTGCGAGGCATGCAGGTGGACCTGCCACCCAGAAGTGATCAAGTGGAGTAAGGTGAGAAAGGTTGGCCTTTTCTCGCATGACCCGGGCAAATGCCCTTCTCCGGAGGATCACACTGATACTGTTGAATGGCAACGGTCCAATTACTACACTGGCGCTGCTCAGTGTCCGTGGATCCATATGTGATGTAGTTATGCTTTGGATGTTCTGTATTTTACACTACCAACACTAAAAGGAAAGCAACAAATAAGTCATATTGTGAAAATGTTGTGCTTAATTGACTTCTTAATCACGTTTTTGGACGTAATGTTTTAATTGCTTTTTATGTGAGATTTTGGTAATGATTACTTCTTACGTTTTTATGGTCTTGCCATATTACTTGTGTTTCTTCTGTAAGGCATGTTTTAACGTCATCTTTAGTTTTGTTCTCCGTGTCAGTTTCGTTGAGGTGCAATAAATGATTCATGATGAAGCTCTTTAACCTTTCTTACCGAATGCTCACGTTTGCAACAATTAAGAAAGAAAGAAAGAAAGAAAGATTTGTTGTCAGAGCTAATGTATTTTGCTGATTATGGTAGCTAATCACATTGGCAGGTCTTTATTTAGCTGTGGGAGCCAATTATTACCAGAGATACCCCGTTTGCTACGAGTCCAAGTAGCTACGAATGCCGGACTGTGTTCCCTGTTTTTCCTTACATCCGCTTACCTGGATATAACCTCTGGAGAGGCCTTTTTCTCCATATTTCGCCTCAGCCGTGCGTAGTATATACGTCAAAGATGCGCCCGTTCATAAACTGTTCCGGGAGACAACAAGGGTAGGGCACGGTATTGACAGCTGTCCCCGTGCCTCGGGGCGGGGCTGGGAGGCCACTCTCGTCACGAGGAGGGACCCGGGCGAGGCTGGAGAAAGCGCCAAGCCGGGCCTTTTCTGGTGTTTGAGCAGTCCACCCCACTTCTATTACTCCTTCCATGCACTCCAATTTTTACAAGTTCGCCTCTGCTTTTGCCCTCCGGTGAAAAGCATATATAGTCCTGCAAGAGCGAACGTCATTCGGAAATGCATTATTCTCGATGGCCTTCCCCCATTTTTATCCTGCTCTCTCTCTCGTTCCTTTTTTCCTTTTGTGTCCTTTTACATCGGCGCCCTGTTTCGCCTGGAGCGAGGCTCAAACGGAAAAATTGCGAAGGAAGAAGTAAGGGGCTCCTACGACGCATGCTGTATTCTGTCCAGTGGCGTTGCACCACTGAAGAGAAAGGGCTGCATACCGGAAAAAAAATTGAGTGTTTTTGATGACTGTACATTTTTGTGTGCTTGGGTTTTTTGAGTGCATTATGATTTTATTGAGTAGAACGGTCTTAAACACAAGGGCAACGCACTAAAAGAAATCGAGTACACAAAAAAAATCAAGATTTCGGCGAACCGGGTGCGTTTTTAAATCGGCCTTTGTCACCGAGTCGGCCAAGCACTACAACATGTCATGTTGCGTCAGATCCGCGTGTGCATTTTATTTGTTGCCACACACGTGGCCGCCTAGGCTTGGCTCCGCGAGAGCGTGTCGCACTACTTTGCCTCCTTGTAATGAGAGATGACGCCCTGGACAGGCAGCAGGCCCCCTGAGGGTGGCGACTCTTGTCCTGGCCACCCTCCCTCCCGGCTCCTCTCTCACTCCCTCTGGCTCGGCCTGTAGGCCATTATCACCCCCTACCCACCCATGCCCCTCCACCGTCCTCCCCCGTGGCACTTTTCAAGCCTGACGCACTGATGGATTCGGCCGGCCACTCCGCGCAGTAGCGCAGCGCCACCCTCGCATCCCCCTTTTTGCTCTCCCCTCTCCTCCCACCTCCGCCCAAGCAATAAGTATACTTTGGTGTATCGTCGCGTCGCGGCCAAAACTCGGTAGGAAAATGAAGCCGGAACCCTTCGGGCGGGGAGCAGATAAACACCGGGGCA